AAAGCCACTAGAAAAGGTGAACAAAACAGAATGGGGTATATAAAAGTAAAGCAAATATTGTAAATGCAAATAATGTGTGCTGTGATTAAATAAAAGTGTACAAAGAATAAAGTTTTAATATTTTCTTATCCATATCTATGGGTGATATCTGAAACACATTATAGGCAATTAAAAAGATCTATTAATATTGTTCTAAATTAACTATAATAAAACAAACAATCCTCATGCATACACAAAACATGAAGCTCTACTTTTCAATCAGCTGTAGAACTAATATAAATAAAACTGGTGGAAGCAGCAAATGTAGGTTATATTTAAATAGAAATAAGAAAATAAAATGCCTATAAATTTGATAAACGACATGGCGTACAATTAATGTACTTTTCAAGAAAATGCTTGGAACATATACAGCTGAATTTAGAAGGTTCCCAATTATGCCTGTTGACAAAATATCCACGCGCTACGTTGTTCAGGATTTTCTGGAAATCTATAAATATTATTTCATATGAAAAAGTATTGTTCCAATGTAGGTAGGCCCAAAAGTTGATAGATGATATTTTTTTGAATTTTTAAAAGCATACTTTTACACATTTTATACAAACATGTCATAATACTGTCCTGTATAATATTTATAATTTTGATACTAACCTAAGAAACGTTATTCCAGTCGATTTTTTACAAAAACGACTATCGCTAGACCAGGAACATATAACACAACAAAGCATTATAAACTTTATAAGTTTGTAACACTCAAAATTTGTTCAAATACAAATTAAATTCAAATTTATTAACACAAATGACACTAAAATATAACCTATAAAATTTGACAATTTGCACTCACAGTAATGGCGGACCGGTGCCACTTTCCGATTACGCATGTCGTATCCCTAGGTTGCCAGATCAATGGTTTTTTGGGACCGTATTTTGAGTATGCCGATTCGCCTTCTTTTTTCTAGCACACCTAAAAGTGTCACTGGCTATGTGTATGAAGTAAGCATCCCAATTCTTTGCAACTCATATTTTAAGCAGAGTTCTTTTGGCATCCAATATAGTTCTCTATTTCCGAATACTTTTTATCAATGGTTCTGTCAAATTTACTATCGAAAACTGCAATTTAAAAAATGAGATGCTAACCAATGGAAGTTATCGTACCAATATAATAAATAAAATTAAATAAAAAAAGTGGACGGTAAATCGATAGTTTACGAATAGTTCTAAAGTTCTTGTTCGTTTGTATTGCTAAATTATTTTATTTATCTCTGGCCCTCTTAAAATAATTATAAATGATTATTATACATATAAATTTTAGACAATAGTATAGTGCTGTTATATCGTAACAACATACATAAATTATAGACCATAGTGAGATGCTGGAACATTATGACGAGTTCTTGATCATAGAATCGCAAAGAGTTCTAGCCTCAGGAACCTTTTAAAATATTTAAGGATTAATAATAAAGAAAAAATATACACTATAGTGAGATGCTGTCATATTATGATATATTCATGAACATACAATGCTTCTAAATGATAACATGACTTTCTCTGTGTTGAGACCCAAAGAGTTTTAGCCTATAGTACTTTTTAGGTCTCAATGCAAAGAGAGTCAAGTAATAATTTAGAAGCGTCATATATTCTAGAACTCGTTATAATATACCAGCATTACACTACGTTCTATGATTTCTGATTATTATTAATATTTTAAAATTTTGCAAAAAGTGCTGACGGCTAGAACTTTTGGGAATTCCATGCCGAGATAGTTTAGTTGTCATTAAAAAGCGGTATATATTCTAAAACTTGTCATAATATGACAGCGTCTCACTATAGTCTATAATTTCTGTTCATTATTCATACTTAAAATTATTTAAAATGTGTTAGAAACTAGAACTTCAGAATTCTATGAAAAAATAGTTTGGTTATCATTTAGAAGTGTTACATATTCTAGAATTTGGTATAATGTGCCAGCATCTTACTATAATCTATACTTTTTTGATTATTATTAGTAGTTAAAATTATTGAAAAAATGTTAGAGGCTGGAACTCTTCGGATCTCATTTAGAATCATTTAATATTCTAGATGTGGTTATAATATGACAATATCTCACTATAATCTATAATTTCTGTTTATTATTAATACTTAAAATTACTGAAAATGTGCTAGAGGTTAATACTCTTAGGTTCTCAATGCAAACAGCGTCAAGTTATCATTTAAAAGCGTTATATATTCTAGAACTCGTCATATTGTGCCAACATTTCACTAAGGTATATAATTTCTGTTTATTACCAATACATAAAATTGTTGAATAATTGCTAGATGCTACAATTTTTTGTGTCTCAATGCAGAGTGAGTTAAGTTATTATTTACGAGCGTTATATATTCTTGAACTCGTTATAATGTTTTAGCATCTCAATATGGTCCATAATTTTTTTATATTATTGAAAAGGTGCTAAAGGCTAGAACTCTTTGAAACTCAATACAGAGAGATTTAAGTTATCATTTAAAAGCAACATATACCCTAGAACTCATCAAAATATGACAGCATCTCACTATGGTCTAGCATTTATATTTATTATTAATAATTAAAATTATTGAAAAAGTTTATGAGGCTAGAACTCTTTGATTCTCAATGTAGAGAGAGCCAAGTTATCATTTAGAAGCATTTTTTATTCTAGAACTCATCATAATATGACAGTATCTCACTATGGTCTATAATTTCTGTTTATTATTATTAGTAAAAATTTTTCAAAAAATGCTGGAGGCTAGAACTTTTCGGGATTTTATGCCGATGCTATAGTATTGTTATCATTAAGAACCGTTATATATTCTAGAACTTCGCTTTATGTGTTCTACAAGTTATCATAATATAACAGCATTTTACTATCGTCTAGAATTTGTATGTATAATAACTATTTATAATTATTTTAATAGGACTAAATAATTTAGCTATACAAACGAACAGGAACTCTAAGACTATTCGTAAACTATCAATTTATCGTCTGCTTTTTTATTTTATTTTATTTATTATACTGGAATGCTAACTTCCAGCCACCAGCATCTCATTTTATAAATTGCAGTTTTCGGTAGTAAATTCGACAGAACTATTGATGAAAAGTATCAGGAACTAAAGAACTAAATCGGATGCCATAAAAACTCTCCTTAAAATATGAGATGCTGAGATTTGAGATGCTAACTTCACACACCCTCACTGGCTCTACTACTAATATTATCAAACGCAAAAACAAAATGACTTTTGCGGATGTGAAATTGGAACTCAGGGTAGGAAACATTACAACAATAAATTTTGATGATTTTAAGAGGAAGTAGAATTTGCGCATGAGTAATAGAGATCATTGTTAGTAAAATGTATTTAATTCATCAGCACACATTTTTTATTTTTGCTCTTTTAACCACCAGATTGCCTTTTTAGGCGTGCTTTCAACTTTGGATCGTTTCAATATTGTAATGTGAGCCATTTCATTATTCAGTCATGCTCTAATACTCCAAGTCCCTCTCTGTATTATTTGGCCTTTGAGGCTCAACTTGTCCGATTATTATACAAAATTAAACCCCTTAAGACCAAACCTATGTGACGACTATGGTGGAGACACTTTCGCGAACATTCCAGAGTCAACGAGATACTATTTCTAGTCTAAATATAACGTGATAACGTTTCTGGTACATTCTGGTAATTTTGGTGGAGGACCATTCTAGACCACCAATTTGTATATAAATATTGGTGGATGAGCCGTCAGAGTAGTTAGTTATTATATGGACAGTGAAGATAAATAGTAATTAGTAGATAAACAGTGGTGAATATAAATAGTGATCAGTTTAAAGACATTCGAAGTATATATATAAATTAGAATAGTTGTGTAAAATAAAATAAAATAAATAGGTATTTAAATAAATTATTAATAAATAAACTGTTGTTTTAAAGTTAAAAAACATCACAATATTATTAAAGGATATGGATAGAACAAAAACACAAATATTTGAGAAATAACTATTCTTTAATAATTACTATAAAAGCTACATGTTAAGGTCAATAAAAGTCATTAAACCACCAAAACTGTTTATTTATTAGTATTACACTATTCTATATTTTATTGCTTGGCTACGCGGTCGAGCTAAGACTCTGACTGCTGCTTTCCTCCGCTGCTCTCCGTTCGTCCGTCCGTCTTAACACAAAAACAGTATCGGTCGATATTATAGAAAAATTAGGACATGTAGATTAACCTTTTGTTTATTTAAAATAAAGATTGTGGCTTGGAGGTTTGCTTAAGTTTTAAATAACAGAACAACAGGCCAGAAGCTATGACCAAATGAATTAAATGATGAATGTAGAAATGTCGTTGTTGGAACGACAAAAAGAGACTTAAACTGGAACAACAAAAAGAGACTTAATTCCAATCCCTTCTGAACCCACAATTAACTGAAAGTTAATGTAATGTTTGGTTTTTGTTTAAAATACTTTATAAACATACAAACATATCAAAATTCAGCATTTGTAGGAATCAAAAATGTATTTTTTCATATTACATACCTTTTAATTACTAAATATCATGAATAAAACTGCCAACAGTTAAAAACTTAAACAGAAGCATACACGAGTTTTTTTTAAGCTAAAATTCACAAATTTGCAATTCTTGCGTTATAAGCAGTTATAGACTATAATGTAAGCAAACTCTGAGTGTCAACCGTCGGCCAATAAAATATTACCACAGTACCACACTAGTACAGTGCCACATTACCACACTACCACAGTACAATAGTATCACAGTCACGTGCTAAAAATCTACGAAATATAACTTTATTTTATTGTATTGGGGCACTATTTATAGTATGTATCGCTTTGTTTATTTGGGTACATTGGGCACCAAAAAATGTACAATATCGAGTAGATAAAAATCATTCAACAGATAAATTTTCAATGATATAATTTGTAAGCAAATAATTGGAAGGTCAACAAGATATAATTTATCATATCATACAGTAATTAATAACAACTGCATTTTGCAAAATAACTCATGGATTTTGTTATTAGTATTATTTTTATTGAAAACAACAATTATTTTTAGTTTTAAATTTGTTGCTTTAAAGGTAAGTGTTTATTGTTACTTTATCTTGCTGTTCAAAATTTAGAGCCATCTTTTACCGGCGCAAGTTTGTCGTAAGTTTCATGGTAAGCAAGAATATTGGTCAAATCTAACTTGACACTTCTGTTTATTTTTAACTGACTTCAAAAAAGGAGGAGGTTCTCAATTCGTCAGAATATATTTTTGTATGTATATTCTTTACTACGTTGTCCAATTTTTATGATTCTTTTCTGTTAGAGAGAGGGTACATCAGGGGTGATCTCATATAAATTTGGTCAAGATCTAATAATGGGGCCCATGAGACATTTATCAAACTCTTCATTTTTTTAGTACTTTCAGTGATAGTTATGAACAACGTTCTCCAATTTTTATGATTCTTTTTTTGTTAGAAAGAGGATACCTCAAGGCTAATTACATATGCATTTGATCAGGGTATGATAATCTATGAGAAAATAAAAAACCTTAATTTTTAAGGGCATCTGCTCGATTTTGAAGTCGGTTTTTTAAAACTAGTCTTATGCGTGTTGGTTTGATTATTTTTTTTTGTAGTGTCACTTTATATAAAATCACGGATTAATATTATGATTAATTGCCACAAACCTAATTCACACACAATTCTGAACAAGAATAATTTGTTCAATGAAAATTTTATATTCATTCCAGTAAGAGTTTCCGAATGTTTTAATATCTATTAAAAAAAATGGGCTTCCTATTACATCGAATTGTAATAAAAATTAAAAAAACTTATCCAAACATTTTTAGAAAAAGGCCAGAATGTGCATTTTATTTGGATTAGGGCTCACATTGGGCTAAAGCTCAAATAAAATGTAGATTTGTTGGCCAAGAAGGGCTCTGTAACAGGTTCAATACATCATACAATTTTTTTGTTTCTGATGTTACTGCAATATTAAAAAGGAATCAGTCCAATAAATGGCAACACTTGTGGCAGGAATATTGTTTTACAAACCCAACGAGATGTACTACTCTTCAATTAAACATTCCCAAGCATTATAAAGTACCGCGAAAGTACATATCTACAATCATCAAGATGAGATTTGGTAATGACTGTTTACCTAGCCATTTATACAAAATTAAAGTCTCTGAAAGTGACCAATACGAGACGTGTAATGAGAAAAGATATCTAGACCATATCTTCTTTAATTGTACTAAAAACAAAAAAATATCTGACAAGCTATACATATAACGACCTGCTTAAATACAATATATGCTCCCCTTGGAATATCCAAAGTATATTGTCCTCAAATTCCATTAACATTTATGCACAGAAAAAAAGCTGTACTATATTCAAGATGAATGGTCTTATTTCAATGCTTTGCTGTGTTTGTATATCCGCAAGTAAAACTCGTCTCGATTTGAAATTCTAGTAATACTTGTTCAACAATAGCTAATAAGCCTTAGATTAGATTAGATTTAATTAGGACTATGGGCCATGTGGCCTCCCCCACCTCGACCTTTTCAGATCTATTGTGGATATCCTTTAATCATTGTTTAGAGTACCTTGTCTAATGCGGTCTTTTGTAGTAGACTCCATAGACTGGGAAGTAGTTCTCCGGTATAGCTAGTTGCCCTTGGTTTTTCTTCTCCAAGTGTAAGGAATCTCAGTCTTACTAGACCTTCGCAGTAGCACAATACGTGTTCTGCCGTTTCCTGTTCTTCTTGACAGAATCGGCACAAGGCCTCTTCTGTCAGACCGATAATGAACATATGTTTGTTAAGCCTACAATGCCCTGTTAATAGACCTACTAGTATTCTAGTATTTTTCCTATTAAGTCTTAGTAGATGCTCGGTGAGTTTAGACGATGGTCCTTTCCTGTCTGTGTCCTGGTGAGTTTTCCCACCACTCCTGAGATTTTTTAAACATCCACTGCTTTGTGCATGTTCTGATAGTTGTTTTTGTTACACCACAGAAGGGTTCTGGGCCAATAAGAGCATTTGATGCTCCTTCTCGGGCTAGTAAATCAGCCTCTTCATTGCCTTTGTGTCCCCTGTGGCCTGGTACCCAGGCTAAGGTTAGTCTCTGTTTTGACTACCCAGCTCTGTTAGGGCTTTCAAACAGTTCCACACAAGCTTTGAGTGTACCTGCATGGAACTGAGTGCTTTTAACGTCGGTTGACTGTCTGAGTATATGACAATGGTTTTTCCATTTACCTTCTGTCTTAATACTTCTTTTGCGCAGTGATGTTATTATATAGTGCTGCTATTTCTGCCTGGAATACTGTCGCATGTTTACCTAAGCTCAGTGAGATTCCTGTTTTTGGCTTGGTACTATATATACCTACTCCTGAACCTTCATGGGTTTTGGAGCCGTCTGTATACCAGGTGAGATCTGCATGAATAGGAGGTCCTCCCGTCCACGCTTCCCTGTCTGGTATACTTACTTTATATTGCTTTTGAAAGCTATACTTTGGAAGCATTTCGTCTGAAGGCATTCCCATTATTTGGTCGTTCTCCAACTCTTTATATAGCTCGCTGTAGTCGCGTCCATGCAAACTGCTTATGGGCGATGAACCTTTGTGCAGTCTGTATGTGACAGACCTGGCTTCGCCTTGAATGAATATATGTAGTGGTGTTAGGTTTAGCATGACTTCTATAGCTGCTGTTGGAGTCGTTCTCATAGCTCCCGTGGTACTCAGGCATGCTTGCCTTTGAATACCATTGAGCTGTCGAATGGCTCCAGCTTGCCTAGTCTTTGGCCACCATACCACTGACCCGTAGGTTATCATCGGCCTTATGACTCTGGTATATAACCACAGGGATATTTTTGGTTATAATCCCCAATTTTTTCCACACAACCTTCGACATAAGTTGAAGGACGTTGAGCTCTTTTGGGTGACTTTTTGCAAGTGGTCAAAGATGACTCCCAAGTATTTGGCCTCTTGAGCGAATGGAATCTTCACTCCTTTCAGTACTGGTGACTTTAGTCCTGTTGGTACTTTTCGTTTTGTAAAGTTGACTATTGTGGTTTTGTGAGGGTTAACTGTTAGTTCCTCCTCTCTGCACCATTCGTCGACAATGTTTAGAGCGGTTTGTGTGCGCTCCGATATTGTACCTGCGAACTTGCCTCTTACGACGATCGCCAGCTAATAAGCCTTACTTCAAGATTAAAATCAACTTGCCCTAACTAAAATATCTCTAAATAAATGAAGAGTATCTATTACTCAATTGCAGTATTATGTACACTGGTACCTATCCATCAAAAAACATTTTTCAAAATTGTTTTTAGTTAATGTACCAAATTCCTCTGTCCTCTGAGGTGTCCCATCTATAATTAAAAAAAAAAAGATTTTATAACTACAAAACTTAAATGGAACATAAAAGTTTGTCCTGCTAAGATGAGAGGTCGTATCTATAAAATGAATATTTTAGTAAATGTGGGTAGGTAGATAATTACGTCTTTTTAGAAATAAGTTTTGCATATTTTACTAACTTTTTCTTATAATTATAGTAAATATTTTCTAATGGAAATAGGCCTTTATTATTTTGTGTCATTAAATAAAATGTAAGCTTATTAAATTTGTAAGTATCTTGAAATCTGAATTTTCGTAGATACGACTTCTTGTCTTAGCAAGGCAGAAGTCGTCTTTCAAAAAAAGTCGTCATCCAGCATCGTACATTTTTTTTCCTTCTATTCCAGTTTGTTTCGTGTTGATTATAAATTTACTTATATATAATATAATGCCTAACAAAAAGTGAACTAACTATACTTACATTTAAATATTGATATCAAGGTCGCTGAGGCCCCATCCATCTAACAAATCTTCCATTTCAATTTAATTTATTAATACACTTATTAATTGAATCACAAATATTTTTTAACGATACGACGCAAACTTGTTAGAACATGGATAGGTGCTAATGCCAATTTGCCAGATTCTCTATAAATACTTTGTGTCTCTGGCTTCCGAATAATAGGTATCACATCTCAACATGTACCAGTCATATATCTACCGTACCAGTTTCAGCTGGCAACACCGTGCACTGAATTTGTACGCGCTAATCTTTTGTGAAGTACATAGGTTTTTGATTCGAATTTTTTAAATCTTGTTCTAAAATTTAAATGCTTTGAATCGAATCCTTTTACAGCACTGAATGAAGTATGCAATAGTCGGTTTTAAGAGCATATCATACTTACAATAAAAGTAAGAGCTTTCTTGGATTAATTAACAATTCTAGACTCGAATGAAGTAATTTATTCTCAGATTAATTACTATAAATCTTAAAATACAAGATTATGCCTACACTTAACATTTATTTTCTTATTGAATTGACAAATATTATTTGAATCAAACTCTGCTGTATTTCAAACAAATGTAATCCTCCAAGTGTAAAGCTTTTCTTGAATGTATATGATAATTTTTTTCTGTGTGACTGCTTGAATAAATTTTTAATGAAATCAGGTATACGCTTGTGATTAGTACTTCTCTTAGACTCGTTACCTTTGTCTTTTTTCCTATTTTCCCCCTTACCGTGACCTAGTTGTAACGTGATCTTGTTATTTTATCTATTTTTATAGCGTTTTAAGCTGGAATGATTTTGGAGAGTGGGTTAGGTTATCAAACAACTCGTATTACTTTGAAAAAGAATGTTGAGCGCCACTATATTTAAAACTTACTAAACTTGACTATCGATTAGTGATGAAAATATATAAAATCACTAACCATCCCAGATAGCACACGACGTCCATTGGACGTCCATATTTTGTCCAAATAATGTCCTGGATGTCCATGAACTACATATGGATATTCATTGGACATCCGTTTTCCGTTATCCAATGGATATACCCATTCAGAAGTCCAATGGATGTCCAAAAAATGTCCATGATGGACACTATAAAAATGACTAACTTAAAATAAATTATTATAATTCTTCTTGTATAATTTAATTATTTACTACTAGGTTTTAATTAAAATAAATCAAATAATTTTTCTCTTATCTCACCTCTGTTGACAAGATAGAAAAGTAAAAGGCCACTCAGGCCAGACTCGAAGAAGAAAAGAAGAATGAGGTTAAGATTGATAAGAAGAAAACACAGCCTGTATGTAGCACATAGATGTTTATCTGGTAAGAAAGTAAGTATATTTATTAATTAAATCATTTAAAAATCTAAAAATTAAAAAGCAAATCGTTTGTTTTAAACTAATATAACCTATCAATTATATTTTAAACTTTATGTTTTCGATTTACATTCAAAGAATACCTTTCTTTTAGAACTTTTGTCAAATGATTTACCTACCTATTTAAGAAAATGGCTTTACTAAAAGCTAACTTATATGCTGCAAATTCGAGATGATGTCAACACAATTATTATTGTAAGCAAGAGGTGAGAAAACTTTCAAAGGAGAAGAAAAAAATTCAAGTTTCTATTTGTATGGCATGAGACATTAGCAGAAGAGGCTATTTAGAAGATACAAATATTTTTAAAGAAGCTGTAAGTTTTACTTTTATTAAAATAGAATCGTTTTGTAACGTTTAAGAATTAATGCATTGAAAGTGGTTTCATAAGTTATTTCTCTTTATTGTTGACAAATATATATTTTTATTGCAATTTTAGATTCAGCAGTTACCAAAACCAGGGACACGGACATGACGAACTTATAAAAAGATGTTTTGTTTTCATAATTTCTAATATTCTCACAAAAGAATTCGCATAATATGATGGTATGAAAGTAAAATGGTAATTTAAGAAATAATGAGCAGTTTTTTGTTTATATGTAAGTATAGAGTTAAAGTACATTAGTGAATGCATATTTTCATATTAGTTAATAACATTTTATCTAAAAGTTTTACATTTTTAACTATCACTTTGGCCTGATCAGGCGTGTATTAGACGATTGATATAAGACTTAATATTTGTATAAAATGTAATGTCTTTTTTAGCTGCTGCTGAGAGTGACAATGGTGCTGCTTAAAAAGTAAGCGAAATAGCCTTAAGAAAATGACAGAGAAGGTCAATAGAAAGGAGTGCGTATAAAACTAATATATGCTTGATATTATTTATGACAATAAAATTAAGTCCATAGTTCGCAATTATTTTATTTTATATTATTACCTATAGGTGGTGATGTCCGTCAGATGTCCGTCAGATGTCCATAAATTGTCCAAAAGCAATACAAAAAGAGTCCATATATGGACCTTTCATGGAGTCCAAATGGATGTCCATGAGTGGGACATTTGTATAGTCCAGTGGATGTCCATTGGATGTCCTTTGGATGTCCTTTGGTAAAATGCTGGACGTCCTTTGGACAGCCGATATGTCCATGAATGGACTTCCGATGGACATCCAATGGATTGAGTTGTGCTGTCTGGGATTAAGATATTATAAATAAATAAGGTTTCAGATAAGGTAGCGACAAATTCTAATTCACAGAGACTTACTTATTCAAATTTAAATTATTTATTCAAGACTTATCTGTTAAATAATAGGTAGTATTTAAGAAGAGACTTGTAGTGGCCTTCTTCAAGGGGATTCGTATGATATACTTCGGATATCACCAACTCTTAAGTATAAATCTTCAAAGGTAAACTTAAATCTCATTAACTTCTTTAGATGACTCGAACTAAACCTCTTGATATACTTGAAACAAACTTCTGTGGCTAAACTTCTAAGTCTCTATACTTCTAAACATCAAAACATGCAGCTTGAATTTTCTTATAAACTTCTAAACAATCTCTTTAGATATAACTCCTACAGAACCATCTAGATACAGCCAGGCTACAAGAAAAAAGGTAAAAATATCAAGAAAGGAACCAGGAAGTTTATATAGGAAACAGATAAGATGCTTTTTACTATTAAATGAACAATTTAAATTATTAAATGAATAGCTTCACAGAGACCAAAATCAATATGAAAAGGAAAAATCTTATTTAACATATTTAAATATAGTAAAGCATATTATCTCTTTCCTAACAAAATAATGGATAAAATTATATAAAACATGTGGGTCTTGTGTCATTCAATGTGTTGAGGTTATGTACAATACTTGACATTTTAATAAAGAAATTCTTGTACAAAATATATATTTTCAACAAAATATCGGCAGGAAACTTAACTTTTTAAAATCAGACGGTCATTAAAAATATTAAAGACAATTAGTACATCGGATGTCCAAGATAGAAGATAATTAAAAATTCAAATCAACTTACTCGTTGACAGATATAAATCGAAATGAATTATCAACTTTTGACATAAGGCATAAACGACAAATGACATTAGGGTAGAGATGTTTGCGTCAAAATAACGAAAACGGTTCCAACCGTTACAATGTTTGGGTCTAAATAACGAAAACGGTTTCAACCGTTACATAGTGTATGTTTTTTTTTAATTCCTTCATGGGTCCCTAGGCAAGAAACGAGTGTCCTCTTTTAATCCTCTTGTTATTTGGAATTAAATATTTAATGTATTTTCTTTTTCATTCATTATTTGTTAATTTACTTCTTCCATTTTGTAACTGGCTGTATGATAAAGAGTTCATGCCAAAAAAACTGGGTGTATACTGCACAAATGAAACAATTAAGAAACCGCCCCTGTTTCAAACATATCGTGGAATTTCACGAAGGTTTACCTCTATGAATTTCACGTTGTTTGTTTTGACAAGGAATCGGTTCATAAACGTAAAAAATATCCAGTGGCGTAGTTTCATTTGGAAAACAAAAAGCAATAATTGGTTAGTTTCATTAAAATAAAATTTCACATTATTTAATTAGACGAGGTCTAGGTTCATAAATTGAGACCTAAAGGCTTTTTATACAATTTAAGCCCAGCATTAGTAATAATACAGTTGTGACAGTTCATTGTTTATGTGGGTTCCATATTTTTCTGCGCATGTCTTTGAATAAGCGGCAAATACAACTGGTATATGTGAATTGTCAACGGATTAATGGTAGTTGATTGTTTTGATTATCTGATTGGTTGTAATGCACATTTTATTACATTTTTATTATATTTAGCCTTAGTTTTCATCTTTAATTTATTGCGTGATATTTTATTTAAACAGACAAAGAGACAAGATATTTTAAAGTTACCTTTTTCAGTGTAGAAATAAGCGGCAAAAACGTCAATTGTCAATAAAAATCTGACCACTCCGACATCAAAGGAGCCGACTCAAGCTGTCCCTACTGTATTATTAATTATACTGGGATATAAGTACTCTATTTTTCATTTTATAAAATGGTTATCATTAAAAGTAATGTATTTAAATTAAAAATAAAAATCAATTACTTTAATAAACATACCAAGAAGCTGTAAATACTAAATTGTTTAAATATATATTGCTTAAATTTGGCAACTCCTCTCTTTCTCTCTCTCTCTTTCTTTCTCTCAAGATACCGCCAAAAGGTAAGTAGCTGGTATTTTGGATAAGCTGTGATGTTACGTTTTCCACTGAGGTACTACTGTAATAACTTGTAGAGAAGGTAAGCCAGATATGGAATACCGTTGCGTTCTTTGTACATATTAAAATCAGAATTCAGAATGACTTCTTAACAACCCTTATTTTTTATGAATGATCTTTACGCCTTTAAAAACTAGATTTTTATAGATGTGTTTACAGTTAGGCCTTAGCGAAGCAACGAAATATCTAGCTTCTTGGGAGCTAAAACCAGCCGATCATCTTTTAAAATGTTTCTTTATTTATTATCAATATTCGAAAACTCTTGTTGGAACATCCATTATGTGTCTATAATATTTAATAAATAAAATAGGGATAAAAAATAAACTGTTTAATATAATTAACACCAGAAATAAAAAAATTTTTCTATTATAGGAACGACTCAATATTTAAAATGTTATTGCTTTTAATTGGGGCTGTAGTAGTCACATGTATATACTATTACATACAAGGAGTAAATTTTTGGAGGAGACAGGGTGTACCACAAGGATCGATAAAATATAATTTTGTAGAGATGCTCAACTTTTTTTTCCAGAGAAAAAGCTTTGCCGAGACAATTTATTTGGATTACAATTTAGTTCCTAATAGTAGGTAAGTATGCATTTAGTATCAATAAAACAACATTTTACTTACCACACTAACGTCTCAAAGTGTGATTAAAAAACCAATTTTACTGTTTTCTTTGTGTTGACGTTTTCAACGTTTTAACTCAAATATTTAAAGATACTTTGTAAATTAGGCTGTCTTTTTGAAATACCGTAGATATATTTTTTTAGGTATACTGGTTTTTATTCATCCAAACTGCCAATTTTAATGATAAAAGATCCAGATCTAATTAAAGATATTACTGTTAAAAATTTCGATCACTTTCCAGACCATACAAATGTATTTTCAGAAATAGCTGAACCTTTGTGGGGAAGAAATCTGTTTGCATTAAAAGGTAATTCATACGCCATTATTTATTAATTTGTAATGTAATATGTTTGTAATTTAATTTCCACATTTACAGTTTTTACAATAAAATGTAAACGAAATTATGTGGTAATATTTCAACGTTCACCAGTTGGCGATACTGACACTTGGGTCCATCGAGATAGAATTAAGACGACCTAAATTCTATTTTGCGATTAGACTAATGGACGCACTTATCGATGACAAGACGGACGAAAAAGTGTAATTAAAATGGCGACCTCGAGTGATGCTTTGATTTATTTGAAGTCAATAATTTTTAATTTGAAGATTGACGTAACGAAAATGTTTTTATATCATTTAAATAAAGCTATTTTAAAAAATAATATTTATTCTCATAAAAACTGAGACTAGCTCTTCTAGCTCGAGTTTGACACATGACGTAAAAAAGTAATGCAAAAGTGCGGATACATTTTTTATCGTTATAGTACTTCTTCTTTATTCTATCTCAATAGTCCCGTCTGACAAGCCCTCAAAAATGGTTATATTCAAATTTATTGTGATGTACAAGTATACAATTGCAACTTCTGACATTTTTTATTGTTAAGAAGAGAAAGAAAGATGTTAAAATATCACTAAAACTTCCGAGCACTTACTACTAGAGGGAGCGTGATACGAGTTTGTAGGTGATTGCTGGGTTCTGAACATCTGTAGAGGAAGTGAGGAAGCGGGCATAAGGGGGAAGGTGAACAACCTCTCTCGTTCAGTGGCGTGTCATTTCTCTGTAAGAATACACATTGTAAAAACTTTTTATTCGCTAATTATACTATTTTTAAAATGTATACCGTCTTATGGGTGAATGATGCAGGAAATAAAACAAAATCATAAAGGTCTAATTTTTTCAATGAAATAATACAGCCTCAAAAGCAATACATCAATTTTATTATAAATAAGGAGCGACTAGTTTCCACTTTACAGGGACATTTTCAGGCCTGTTTTACAATAATCCTTAATTATTAAAATAGGAACAATATAAGAATAGGTTGGTCACTTACGATTAAAATTAAATAATATAAACCACAAAAATGGATCCATATTGTAGCCTTACAGTATTGAAAAATTAAAGCTGTGGAAAAGCAAAAATAAAAGAGCTGTGCAAACTTAACTAAAAATAAGAAAAATGGGTACGGAATCTACAAGAGAAGAGGTGAGAATAAGAAACTACAAATGCATTTAAATTGCACAGGATAACAAATAAAGCTGATAATGTAAAGTATTGGTATAGTCCCAGTCAAGGAAAGTCCGGATATGTGAAAGAGGTGAAAGAAGAGTGTAGATGAAAGCTCCACTAAATATCGTCATTTTCGTTTAAATTTTTATTCTCACTCACCGTTTCGGCTTCATCTTCGAAATTGATTTTTAATAGGAAATAAAAGTAATCATTTATGCAAGTAAATAATAAAAAAACGTGAATTCAATATATTTAATAAGCTAATAAACGTTTGTTTCAATGAAAAAACATTTATGTGATATAAAAAAAAATTAAATAGATAAGATTTATATCAAAATCAATTTGAAAATACAACAAACAGAGATAAAATGAAATTAATTAATACATGTACAAATAGAAAGTTAATAACCTACCTTCTAAAAGTAACACATTTTAGGTAGATAAATGTTTACAGAATTGATGATCCCTGAACATAACTAATCTGACGTTTTCCCCCCTTTTTAATATTATGAGGGTTTTTGTAGTTGAAATGAAAATGATAATTTATTTTTGGTCCTAATAAAAATTTAAACATACTTTATCAAAGAGGAAAATACATATAGAACTGTATAATTTAAAATCGTTATAAAAAATTATTAATGGTAAAACTTCAAACAATAATTAGTCTTAAACAAATTTCTTGTTTTTATTTTGCAAAAACCTTTTCTGCCTTCTTCGTTTGCTTCTGCCACTTTTCTTTTAGTAGTTTCGAGGAGAATTTCACTATGGAAACCAGGAGAACCATCAATTGGTTAGTAGTGAGAGGTTAGTATTGTTTAACTTTCTTTTTAGGTAGCTGTAACCTTTTGGAGAATAAAAATTTAATGTCAGATCAAAAGCTCTTAATTGAGAATTATATTTGCGAAGGCCGTTTTATTAATAGTTTCAAAAGTTTTTGGAATTGTTGTTAACAGAAACCTGCAAGAAATATATTATTTTATTCATAAAATATAAGATATCACACAATGCATAATATCGTTGTGCTAGAACAATAGTAGGTAGGTACTGAGACAATTTAAAAAAGTAATTTCGATAAAATCTTTAAATGTCATCATTGTACTTAACTTTTTTATTGCTAAAACAATAATAATGTCATTTTGTGTAGTTCGTTGTGATTTGTATAATATATACATATTATATATATATTATAAAAACTTATCGTCAATGTTATTAGGTGCCGACTTTTTTTAACAGTTATTTTGAAAGATGTCTTTGTTCTAGTAAAAACACATTTAAATACATTTTTAGAAGTTTTCTGGATGTTTGCTTTAAGTTATCCTATAATTGAATTGACTAATTATGTGTTTAAATAAATGTATATCTCCTTTTTGTCAAACCAGTCTTTGTATTGTTCTATACTTTTTAGATGAAAAGAGAATGCAGTAGGATATCTTAAAATATCCTATTACACCAACAAAAATGTAGAATAATGAATCTCACATTAAGCGAAAAAAAAACACTTTTGGATATCCTACTACATAGGTATTAACTTGAAAACTAATTAAAATGTATATTACAACTGTGCTCAAACAAATAAATAAATGTTTTTATACCTAACTATAGCACCAGAAAGACATAGTCAAAATCTACATTATTTAAATTGTTCTAGTATTATTTTAGCATAGCGATATACGTTCCAATAATAAGCATTCATTGTTTTTTGAAACGTTTTTTAGTAAATAAAAAAAAAACAATAATAATGTAATATTCTTGTTCAATTTGTTACTACATAATATAGTTCATTACTGATTTAGAAGCAAATTACGTTCTATTTATACAGTAAAAAATCACTCCTAATATTCAAATATTTATACATATATGTTAGCAAGTAAAGAAATGTTTGTTAATTGTAGTACGGTAAAGCACATCGGCAGTCAAGAGCGAAGAATTTGAGGAACTGATGCGAACCGTAGTCAGCGCTCCTCCAGGCAGAACGATTTGAGTCGCCTTGAGTGTCTAGTGTGATCAGCTGTCTTTGTTGGTTGATTCTCATGCATTGTGTTCTATCGGTAATCACTTGGTAACTAAATAATTATTTGACTTGATAATTAATAAAATCTAACATATATGTTTATATTGGAGGTACCAAGACTAACTATTTTATATTTTTTGCTCTATGGAATACTTCATGCATATTTTTGAGGTTCATTTTGTTTAAAACTTAAACTAATTAAGTCGATTAAATTATAGTTTAAAAAAAATTGTCAACAAAACAGTGGCACCGCCTTTTTTCTTAAACATTCTATTTGAAGGAAACCGAAGTTTCTCTGCTTCACTTGGCTGTATTAGTATTTTATTAGCAGATAAATATGGTGAGGAAGTAGTGACATGATTGATTATTAACTGAAATTGCATTTTTTTTAATATTTTCCTTCCCTGATGTCTGTAATAAAAATATTCATTAGCATAAAAAGTTATTCAGGTGGTCACTTGTTGAATTCTTAAATTTTGGAACCATTTATTTATTTTTATCATATTAAGAAGAGGAAACCTACAATACAATATAACATTAATCTTTACAAAGATGTGATATTTAAATAAAGTCAAAGGTTTAAATTTTCTTTATTTATGTTAATAAGTAATGATCTTGAAGAAGCATTTTCAATAGGTCTTTTACCCATAAAGCATGTTTTTACCATATTATTAGAGATGATAAATCTTAAATATACATTTACAACCCTTACAATGCTATAAATAATTTTATATTTTTCGTAAAATACACATCAAAAATTGACATGTTTTACAAAGTGTCAGAACTGTCGCTGTCAAACTTGGCAACGCTGACTAAATAAGATTACAGAAAAGGGAGTAGGTGTTGATTACACAATTTAGCGCGGGGAAGGGGAAAAAATCTCTCTAGTAGTAATTGCTCGGAGACTAAAACTACAATTGAATCGGTGAGTGAAAGAACAATACAAGTGCCAAAAACGGTAACTTTAACTGAGATAGGCAAATTGTTTAAAATTCATAGGACTATCACATAGCGAAAGAATATAACACCGACCAACATCATACGAGCGATGGGGGCTTGTTCAGTTTTCGGCTGAGTGAAAAAGCAGTACAAGTACGGCGCATGTACTGTTTTTTCACTCAGTAGCATATCGTTTCGTAGACAAATTTGACACAGATTTCAATAACTGGTGGTCGCTATTTCATAAAAAAACCTCTAAATCAACTGATGAACAAAAAGATAACTTTGTCATTCCGCAGTTCAGCCAGTTTACATACACTGGTAGAACTCCTGGATATGTTACTACAAGTGCCTTCATAGGCGGTTTTCTCTCGCACACTTTTATGTATGGGGCGCATTAGACTGATCAAACCCAATGCCAATCTGCAGTTACCCTTATGTCGGGCGTACACGCTACGGTCTGTCTGCGCAGGTGTGCCTGCACAGGTAGACATACACGCTACGACATGAAGCCGACCTGCACAGGTAGACCTCTCCGGTAGACCGTTACGTGTATGCTCGTCATTAGAAAAGGTATACTCAGAAGTTGTCCCTATTAACGTAAAGAAGATAGCCAATATAAAGATACTTTTATTCTACTTAAGTGATGAAATCCTAGAGTTTTACTACCATATAATATTTCTTGGAAAGTCAAAAATGAAGATTCTGATTAAAAAATTACAAATAAGTTGGTTAAATAATAATCAATAAAGCTACAAAAAAAATTTAAACCATTTTTTTTTAAATTAAGTGAAATAACTGCAAGTCATTTTTTTCAAATATCATTTTTTGTATAATTTTATTTTTAAATTTATGTACGTATTATTATCGATTAACAAAAATTCTATAACTTCACATTACATAAATAGCCTAATAACCCATAGTTCTCCTTTAAAATAGTTTTTCTCAAAATGGTCATTTTGGATATGTATTGTTCTTTCACTCCCCGATTCAATTACAAAAATAGGAAAATAATATTAAGTGTACGTTTTGTTTATAAATATAACGGTAAAGTTTGAAGCAAACAATAAAACAATACCAGACCGCTTCTAATGATATACTGTGCGGTCCATATGTATGGAATAAATTCATTTCTAGCGTTAAACTTAAGCAGGTCGATTTTTATTTGACAAAATTTATAGTATCCATTTCTTTTGAATTCGCCTCAAATATTTTAAATGAGAAAAGGGGTCCAGTGACACCTTTTTTGAGATTTTTATTCTCTCCTTTGCAATATTAAGATTTTTTTTTTAATTTGGTGCAATCATAACTGAGAAAATTAATTTTGAAAATAAAAAAATACCAGAAAATCATTGGGATTCTCATCTTTAAATACGGGACGTATTGAGACGCTTATCTTCGACAGAATGCGATTCTTCTGTAATGTCTCTCTCTGTTCAATACGTAACGTGTCGAGTTTGCACATAAGAAAGGTTGACCTGTTAACGCACCCAATAGAGGATTAGCATGAATGGGGTAATTTTTTTTTGTATTGACAGCAACCCATTAATTTTCTGAGAGATACAACGAATATCAACCAGTTAGGCAAAAATAATCAAATTTATGCAAGGTGCTTAATATGAATGTTAATTTCTAGATAAAACTTTTATTTATTTATTTTTATCTTTTCTATTAATATATTATGAATTTTCCTTGAGTTGATAATTTTATTTTTCTTAGGTCAAAAATGGCGTGACATGAGACCAATTCTTAGTCCCTCATTTACTAGTAGCAAGATGAGATCAATATTTCTGTTAATTACTGAATGTGCCGAAAGTTTTTCAGAATATTTTTTGAAAAAAGGAAATAATATTATTGAAATTGAACTGAGAGACAGTTTTACGCGTTTTACAAATGATGTTATAGCTACAACAGCATTTGGTATCAAAATGGATTCATTAGAAAATAAGAATAACCGCTTCTATAGAATGGGAAAAGAACTGACTAATTTTGCTACTGGAGTTTCCAACGGAATAAAACTTTCACTCTTTGTTCTGTTTCCTAAGATATTCGAGGTAAGACAAGTTGTATAATTTATTTTTAAAAACAGACTGCAAAATTGTAGAGTTTGATAAATTTTTATGGATTCAATCATCAGACCTTGACCGCAAATGTATATAAAACCACCCCACTCCTTTCTAAACAAACAAAACAGAATCAAAGAAATCGGATAAAGTGGAAAGCAATTATCCCCAACGAAATATTTTAAATAATTGAGAACCGGTTACGGCTCTGTAGCACTCTTATATACAGAGTGGTCCAAAAGTCTGGAAACGGCCAATTATCTCGTAAATTGCTAGTCCTAATTGTACAAAATTTGGGGTACACCTATTGGGATACGAAGATTCCAGATTTGATATTTGCAATGTTGCCAGATTTTCCGTTTTTCTTATATTAGTCACTTTGGTTTTTCAAATTGATCACCCTGTATATTAAGTAATTATTGGAATCTCCTATTCAATACGAGTTTAACCATATATAACAATTATTATTTTATGTAGTTTAGAAGGTCTTAAATAAATAAAACAGAAGTCTGGCAACGCCTAATTGTCTCATAAATTTTTTAATACAAACTATTTTCAAATACATTAAAACGTAACAATTGAAAGATTACACCATATTTAACATAATGGTTACTTTATCAAGTGTTTAAAATGTGCTTCTTTTGTTAGTTGATTATAGTCGATGATAGAGTGCATTTACCATATTTCTTCGATTGTTTTATTTATTTAAGACCTTCCAGACTACATAAAATGATAAGTGTTGTATATGGTTGAACTTGTATTGAATAGGGGTTTCCAATAATGACTTAATATATAGGATGATCAATATAAAAACCAAAGTGACTAATAATATAAGAGAAACGGAAAATCTGGCAACATTGTAAATATCAAATCTCCGTATCCCAAAATAGGTGTACTCTAAATTTTGTACAACTAGGACTAGCAATTTACGAGATAATTTGCCGTTTCCAGACTTATGGGTCACTCCGTATATTAGCGATCAATTCAAAGGAAATTGTATTTAAATTCAATATTATTCTTCTTACTACGAATTGCTTATCTTCTATTGTATCCAACTTTTTGATAATTTTCTAAAAACTTCGTATATTACAGTTAATTATAAAAATTAAATGTCCATATTCATAATATTATCTTTGCTTATATATAAATTAACCATAAATTAGGTATTTGGTAATTACTGTTTATTATTTTTACATTGATATTTAAGAATTAGGTTTCAATTGACAACTTAGGTTTACCAAAATTATGGGAACTTCCACAACTAAGATACCATGACCTTGATCATCAATCTATCCTTTATTAATTAGCATCGTACAGTAAAGGTATAATTTATTAGAGTATCGAAAACAAAAGAACAGTATTATAATTTTGTGATTTAAATGGTACTACGGCCTTGACTAACCAAATAAAATAGTAAAAATATATTCTAATGGAGTTCTTGCAACAAAATAACATTATATTTTAGTAATTTTGAACTTTGATCTTGAAAAGAAATTGATTCTTGGAAAATTTGAGAGTGATGTTCCATTTTGTTTTCTGGGACGGTGTTATGACTCATTTTGAGGATTGAGTTGTCAAAAAAAAAAATAATAGTAATGTTTTATTGGAAGAATATTTTATTAAAAGATATAAAATTACACTGTAGTATTTTGTGGACCTTTTAACAATAAAAACAACACTAAAATAATCAAACATCTCCAAACATGCATTCTTGCTTTTTTATAACTAACTTGCGGCTTAGATTAAATTTAATCATACTAAGCCACTTCACACCTACTTTGTTCGCACTTCACATCCTCTGTACACGCACTTCGCCCACTTTACTCGCAATTCGCACACTTGACTCGCACTTCATCTGCGCTTGCACTTATACTTCATTTACTTAGAATCGTAAAGGACTTTTAGCACTTGCTTGAGTTTAGCTGCTTAGCTTAGCACTACTGCTTTTACTGGGGCACGCACATCTTCAATCAACGTCCAGAGTGGTATAGCAGACAAAGACACCGTCGACGTTCAGCTTAGAAAACACAGTTATCAAACTGCAAAAATAAAGTGAGGCGTTTAATTATATTACAGCTAAACGACTGTGTACATTTAATGCATAGTACCCTTCGAGCAAATATGCTGGAAGCTAGTATCAAATATATATTTTATGCCTGGCATCGCTGTACGATAATAATCTATCGGCTCGATTAATTATAACACCTTCATTTTAGCGTCTACTATTGGTTGAATCGAGCCTTTCTTAAATTTATATTTGCTGCAGCAGACGATAGCCCGTAAAAATGCACCTACACGTGGATATCGAATAGTAATTCTGTGATTTTTTCAATTTATGTTCTAATTGGTTATTCGGCGCGCTTCTATGGGTCATCGTCGGGTTGACTGAGCACAGATGGACAGTGTTTGTTTATCCAGTGTTGTATTCACATTACTGTTCGGATTTTTAATTTATTAAAGAATGAGTTTTTGGAGGCCCTTTGAAAGTGTTGAAAATAATGTAATCCCTGAATGTATGTAAATAATTATGATTTTGATTAACTATTTTTTAAATAAATAGGATCAGTTGCACCTCAAAAACAACTAAATTGGTATTTAAACACCCATACAAATTATAAAATTTAAACAGTTCAAAGTCGGCTTTGGCAGTTTACATTATTGTTTATCTATACAGAGTGATTCACAAAGAAGAGGTTATATTTAATCTGCAAATTCTATAGTGGAAAATGTTAATTTTTGGCCTAAAACTGGGGATCAAATATTAATATATACTGAGAAAATGTAAAAAATATGTAACCTGCACGAGAATACTTTATTAAAAAAGTGACAAGCTGAGTAAATTTATATTAATTAATTACTAGTAAATAGATGAGACTTTATTAAGATTCCCATTTCAACGTTTATGCTACAATTACAGTTGGCATTTATAATAAATTTTAGTAATATATTTTTTATATTTTTGTTGATCTCGTAAACATAGGATAATTGCCACACTAAAATTAAATTTTTTCGTGTTATTATTTAGAATATTGTTATTTAGATTTTTATTAATACATTTACCCCAAACAATGCACTCTTACCCCAAGTGACCTTACATAATTCTATGCAGAACCTATATGTAGATGTCACCCTCAACTCAAAAAGTTATTCGAAATATGTACCACCAATTAAAATTGGAAAATAATAGATCTAATTACAGTGTCATAGAAAGAATACACATTTGACAAAAATTTCAAAACTTTATATTAGAAAAGTTATTACAAGCCAGGAATGTATTCCAAGAAACAAGTGGAATCAAAGATTTCTAGTTAGTCTAGATCACTGCATGATGGAGAGAGAATATAAGAAGGAAGGTTTGTAATTTTTATTTTAATAATATCGTGCCATATTTTTAAATGATTAAAAGTAAATAAATAAATAAAGTTAGTTCCAGGCTTCCCTTACAAATCTGACAAAAAAACTAGAAAAATGCTCCATTCTGTGGGTTTTAGATATCCTATCTTAAAGAGAAGACAGTATATTAGGGAATCTTAAAGAATTATGATTTTACATAATAAATACGTCACTAGAGCAGATGAAGCTTGGCAAGATAGATTGATAGTGTATCTTGATGAGACTTGGTACGACACTCAAGATATTGTAAAAAAGGACAGAGTGATCAATCTGCTAAATGTTCTGTGAATGCTCCTCCAAATAGAGAAAAACAAAAATAATTAATTCCTAATTTGCCACCAAATGCTGTTATAGTAATCGATAATGCCTCTTACCACTTTTGTCAAACTAGTGAAATTCCAAAAGCGAAAGCTCGAAAAAAGGTAGTTTCCGCGTTTTTGGACAAAATGGGTGTATCATATTCACCAACAGTTAAAAAAAAGATTTTTTTGCAATATTGAAAGGCTTAAATCTTAAACCTATCTATGATGTGGATTAGATGGCTACGACATTCGTTCATACTGTAATACATTTACCGCCGTATTATTGTATATTAAATGCCAGATGTTATCAGAGAAGTTCTTGGAGGTATATCTCAAGAATTATGCTCGAATTGAGTTCTCCGTGTTACTAAAATTAAAAATAACCGTCGAATATTTCCGGCTCATTCTTGCATTATAAACCTGAATGACACGTCAAGTGAAGATGATAGTTCTGATGTAACCACGTATCTATTGGTTCACGTTATTTTGGAAAGGAACATGGTATTGTTTCTATTTTTCTTTTCTAGGATTGTAACCTTGTCGTGTTGAGAAGGCTTGCATGCTTCAGTCACTTTGAAATTTAAAGCCAGAATAATACATTCCACAGTAATTTAAATTTTTTATAATAAGAGGATACTAATAACAGTTGTTCAATCATTTTTCGTAACATCCTTCATTTATTTTTCTAGCAAAGTGGCTTTCAACAGTGGAAACTCAAAATATATTTTAAATAAAAAATTTAACTTCTGACACTTTTATTAATCAGTACAATCAACTACTAGATAACCGATACAAAAAATATATATAAACTATAGTAACGACATTACATTTTAAGTAACTTTAGCGACAATTTTTAATATTCAATGTAATATTTAAATACTTTAAGTAAATAAAATAGTAGATGAAATATTATAGTTTCATGGCGAATTTTTATAAGTCGTGAATATTTATTTCGGATGAATTTCGCAAGTGTTGCCTTTAAAACTAAATTTAGTGATATTTATTAAATAATGAAAGCAGAAAATTATTGAAAATAATGTAATAATATTTAAATACGTATATTTTCTTTTTAAAGCGTAACATGTAACTAATTAGATCCATCCTTGGATTGCCCTTAAACGTGTTTTTATACGATTTATCTGGAAATATATTGTTATAGTAATAACTAGTAAGTTATCCAGTGATTTATTCTGTTAGTATACATCAGAATAACACATACTATTTCTTTTGAGTTGATTGCCAGCTAGAAATAAAACCTAATCAATCTAAATAAAATTCGTCATTTATCAATGCGAGACCTTTTGCAGACCTTCTTTAAAATCTGTAAAAATTTAAAGAAAACTGACTAATTTGAAAAATAGCTAAGAAACTGAGTAAATGAGTAAATGAAAGTTTAGAATTTTATGAAAGTATTTGAAAAGCATGATCAAACTTGAACAAATTAATTTTAAGTATTAGAAATAAGAATATAAATACTTCATTGAACAATTATGGTGTTTGATTTAATCATTCATTTAGAGAATATTTTTTAGCATGTATGCTTAAATAAAGATTGTGGCGTGCTTGGCTCAAAAACAAGCCCGAAAATACTTAGGTATGTTTTGCTTAAAATGAGCATGAATTTCTCTCTGTGTTGTTATCTCTTTGTACCTTTATCCACCAATTTCTTTTTATACCCCTTTTCTATTCCTTTTCTATTATTATTTCTTAAAGCTTTTCTATGACCATTTCGGATTTTTAGCCTGTTCATTAACAGGTATTATTTTAGTATGTAAATTTAATTTTTAACTTACTTTCCTAAATATTTTTTTAGATACTTAAAATAGGACTATTTAAGAAGGAAGTAACCAAATTCTTCATCGATATAATTGACGATACTCTAAAAACCCGAAAAGAAAATAAAATCGTACGCCAAGATATGATACATTTGCTAATGGAGGCTCAGAAAGAATTAGAAAATAAGGATGTTGAAATAGAAGAATCCAGTTCCGCACCTCAAACTAAAGCTCATTTAGGTATATACATTTTCTTAGTAGACAATTATCTGCCCTTGTGATTTTGAGAAAAAATTGACAATAATTGTAAAAAGTAAGCAACTAAAGATGATTAAAAAATATTTTTGATAACACCCAAAAGGCTTTGTATAATATTAGGTAAAATCCAAGCAAATAATTAAAAAATCTCTTAAAGCTGCTTGTCAATGCAAGTTTTAAAAAAGCGCTGGAAATCATGGATATACTAAAATCTATTTACCTGTCATCCCTCCCGCCTGGGATATACCAGAAGTTTCTTATGTGTAAAGTCATTATTAGCAAAACCAAACCACAATTCAAAACTTGTTCTGTATTTAATGAAAAAGTGTATTATGATAACCCCATGTATGTTGGATTTTCAGTGTGAGACATTTCAATAACCAAATATATGAGTTTTTGTAGTTACATCAAACAAACATTTTTGGTAACTCTGCAAAGTTGTGTTATACCGATAACGATTCTCTATTTCTAGAAGTGTTTATCAAAAACTTTTATTTAAATATATAACAAAACATCAATCATTTTGGTACTGCAAACTATTCCGAAGAAAATGAATGTGGTATTCCCAATCTATTGTTGGAAAAAAAGATGAATTTGGTGGTATTTTAGTTGCGTCAAACTAGATCAACCATTTAAGAAGCTAAAAGAATTTTATCAAACTAGTTAATAATTTCACATAAGTAACTACATTCAAATTTTGCAAAATGGTGAGGAAATATATAGAAAAATGTATGTCTGTATTATCACTACACACAATTCTATACAGAACTTGGAAAATAGGGTGATTCTCTCAGCTAAAGATGATAAGACAAATCAAAGCTTTGTTCCGGGAACCGAGACACTCAAGAGTATTTACACAGTTCCAGCTCCAGCTTTGAGTCAAATTTTAAGGGACAACATTCTAATTTTTTTTTTGTAAAGTTTTACAAACTTTTGCCATATTGGAGTTCATCTATTAATTTGATCTTCACACAGTAACATTTTTTTTTATATCTTTAGAGTATACTTTACTAACAAATTCAATAAATTAACTTTCACGTACGATATGTAGTCATTAAAACTAGCGTGTTGTTCATAATGCATCCCTATTCGGTTTTATCCAATCCTCCCCTATAGGGGTTGATCAGTTTGAACCTCCATTTCCACACTACTTACGTTTATTATTACCATACAGTAATGCAAAACTTTTATTTTTTAACATAATGGATCTAATGATCTTATCGATTGCTCCAAACTATCCTGGTTAGGTATTTTTTTTTATTTTTTATTATTTTTTTTTATTGAGCCGTTATTGGAATTTTGGGAAATTGAAATTTTATATTTTTTAGAAAAACAAGTGCAACAAAGAGAACTGACCAATTTCGACATTGCTGCTCAAGCTCTTATATTCTTCTTTGCTGGTTTTGAAACGGTATCTGCGTTAATGTGTTTTATGGCTTATGAATTAGCAGTTAGTCCAGAAATACAACAAAGACTTAGAGATGAAATTGAAGAAACTTTGAAAAATTGTCAAGGAAATTTAACATACGAAGCATTGTTGAAAATGAAATATATGGATATGGTCGTATCAGGTATTATTCAATCGTTAATTTTTATATTGTTACATTTTAGTTTTAAGATATACTTAATTTGCAACATCTGACTTGCGGATTGACCCCAATGTTCGAACTTATATCGAAATAATTTAAACCCCACAAACAAAATATTTTAAAACACTTTATTTACAATTTATTTATACCATACTAATTAATTTATATAATACTTAGGCACTACTGTAACTCAAAATTCTAATTTATTTATTACAATTTATCTTTTCTAGCCAACACTTAAATAATTGAATCTTCACTTCACTAAAAAATTCCCGGCTATTTATATAAAAATGTAACGTTCCAGAAAGAACCAATCCTGCTAGAATAATCTCTAAGCGTTCGCGAAGTGCTTTCCCTATACGTCAGCTGCATACCTAGAAGATTCCGGTAATGTTTTGACCATGAGTTGGGTGCCAGACTTCACGTCGCGCTATAAAATAGTAAAAACAGGGTCGGATTAAGTGTTCTTACGACAATATGTTGAAATAAAAAGCGATTGATATTTATTAGAAAAACGTATCAAAATATTTAAGAAAACAAATAAAAACTTCCAAGCCCAGGCTTCTATTTAAGAAAAAAATCTGTTTTTACGATGTAGTTTTAAAGTGCCAACTCTTGTGTTGCTATCCTTGTTACCCTAGTTAATACAGAATGCTTTGAGATGTCGCATTTATTCCAGTTTCTCAATTTTTTTTTTATTAGATATTGTTAGGATTACAATAATTTTCTGGCTCAATTCCAAAATGTAATGCATCTTAAGGATTAACAAATGGCACAGCACTAACTAAAGGAGTATCTAAACTACTATGTGACATACTTTGTATGTGTTTTCAGTGTAGTTGAGTGTATATATAAGAAAGGTTGGAAACGTGATGATTACTAATACCATCCAGACTTTGATAAAGAAAAACCTAGGGTTATCTAGTTAAATATAAAACAGATAACATTCGCTCATGTTATAAAAGAAAAAGTCCTACATAATCTTAAATTGTACCTTCAGTTTTTTTAATGTAACTATCGTGTCTATAAAGATGTTGCCTTCTTAAGCAGCAGCCTGTTAGCTTTCACTTTTGCTTGGAATTGAGTATAGGTTTTGTCAAATGAAATTTTGTTATGAGGATCTGTCTTGCCACCGATATATACTTGAAAGGATTATTGCGAATTCTGTATTTTTCCACATTTAATGCGACAGCTTCATAATTGGACATAATTTCAAACAATTGGGCCTATTTTTCCGTGGTTAAATTGGTCCAACCTGCGCATCAGTTCATGATTTCAGGATTTATCATCAAACAGATTGATATCGATGGAAAAATCGAGTAGATTTCTCTTATTAGTGTCGTCGCTCTTACCTTATTATTATTATTATTATTATTATTATTATTATTATTATTATTAAACTCTTCAACATACCCAGAACCGTTACAAAGTCGTTTACACATTTTTATAACTCGTCTACTTCGCGGTGCCGTAGAATTAGTTGTTTACCCACAATTGGAATTTCAGCTCTGAAGTTTTACCTTCAGGTCTTTGCACATTGTGGAGGTAATTTTATGAGTCTTTAGTGTGTGCATTGCATAAATAATAGAATACCCTGAAGGAACAGCAAGTAATATCTTTTGATTAAATTTTTAAAAAAGCGTTTTTAACATTGTCGAGTAATTTTCTTAATTGAGAGGGAATATTTTCAGTCCCTCGAGGATCTCTTAGATTCGTCAAACTCCTCAATGGAGACTGAAAGTGCGCGTGTAGTTATGAGAGAACAATTTGTCCCACTCTAAGTCATCTTCCTCACAAAATTCCTTTAAATTAGTGTGGTACGTTTTACAAGTGTTTGACCTGAATAATTCTGTTATCCGCACCCGTATAAATTGAGTTTTGGTACCCTATTCTTTATTTACATTATGAAAATTCTAAAATGGCTATATCGAAGAGGAACTAAACTGATATTAGAATCAGCACCTTCTATTATAAGTAACTACCTGCCATAATTTACCATAACTGCAGTTAGGTATTTAATAGAGAAATGCAAACCGCTTTAAGTATTTAGGTTATTCCTTTATACGTTTTAATCTATAAAAAAAAATTTAAACTGCAACTCTACAAATATGTTTTCTGATTGTATATCTTTTACAGAATCATTGAGAAAATGGCCGACTGCTGTAGCGGTAGATAGGGAATGTGTTAAACCTTACACTATTGAACCAAAATTACCTGGGGAAAAACCAGTATATATCAAAGAGAAAGGACCAATATGGATCCCTATCTATGGAATCCACCATGATCCAAAATTTTATCCAGTACCAGAAAAATTTGATCCCGATAGATTTAGTGATGAAAACAAAAGAAAAATTAATGCTTATACGTACTTACCTTTTGGACTGGGACCAAGAAACTGCATAGGGTCTAGATTTGCTCTGCTTGAAATAAAAACGGTGTTCTTTCATCTCTTGCATAATTTTGCTATAGTACCAACTAACAAATCTATAATACCTGTTAAATTGTCGGCAAAAGGCTTTAGTTTGACAGCAGAAGGAGGCTTTTGGTTTGGATTGAAAAAATTAAAAATTAAAAATAGGAAATACTGTTAATATTGTTGATTTAAGTAAAGAGCCAATTACCACGATGTGTATGCCAACAAAATATTTAGATCAATAAGATTTAAAATATATATTATTTTATACCCGATTACTTTGACATTTTAATAGTGATTGTAATTTGGAAGACAAATACAAAAAAAAATATATGTACATATACTTCATAATTTAAAAAATAACTTTAATCAAATTTTGGGAATCGTAAATATTTCACTTGCCCAAGAGGCCACGTATACTTTTTAATATAATTTTTTTGTCTAACATTTAATTTGAATTTGTTTGGCGTAAACGAATTTAACGAATCTAATGCTATAAACTTTATTTTTCATGTAATAAATAGTCGTAATTCAAATAAATAATAAGTAAAGTTCACTTTCAACTCAACTATTTAGAGCTGCTGTTTTTGCGCCATTTTGCCGCGTCACAATAAAGCGATTATTTCTATTGGTCGCTAAAAAATCGGTGATACTAACATATACATTTCTACTATAATAGAGCGCTAGTATCGTTATCTTTTTCTAATAGTGACAAATATGATAAGTTATCTCTTTCTAAAATTAGGATAGTATGCATGAGCGTCGTTACACAATTCTATAGGGAGGGGAAAAATTTTGAAAAACAAAGAAAATGAAAAATAAAAGAGCAGTACAAATTAAAAAAAGTTTTTAATAAATAAAATAAGCCAACAAAAAAGACAAAAACTAAAATAAAAAAAACAAGAAACTTAACACATTTTTAAAAAACTAGCAGGAGGTGTGAAATAAAAGAAAAATATGAACAAGAAAACAGAGCCATACATAATATTAAAAAAAATAAAATATTTATAGAAACACAAAAAAAACTCACTCAAACACGTCGACGAACACTAGCAAATTTTTAATTTCTTCTTCCTCTATCTAAAATAATCGATAACACAAAACATGATTTCTTTTTAATTTTTTGCGATTATTTTTCGATGTACGCTCATCATGTAAAGCGCAGTCAACCTATTCGCTCTGTGCGTGAAAGCAGCGCCAACTAATTCATGAACTAAGGAACGATATTTGCGTATACTGACAATACAATTTTTAATGGAGTTTCTAATTAAAAAATATATATGTTGATTTTAATAAAAGTATATGGATTTGTAAAACAAGTAAAAAAGTTATTTATTATATATTTTTATTGCTTCAGCAAAAAAAAAAAAATAATAATAATAATAATAATAATAATAATAATAATAATAATAAAATAATAATAATTTGACATTGAAGACTAGGTTAAATAATGTGAAAATAAAAACATTACCATTATATAATAACGTAGTATCAAAACGTATTAACAAAAATAATTGGTTTTGTAATTGTAATTTATATTTTTTTCATTTGTATTTCGAAAGAACCCATAGAAATTAATGATTAAAATTGGTTTCCTATCAATAAGTCACAAGATTGCATTTCAGCCATATACAATAATTAAAGGCAGAAAACTAATCTTTGCTGAACATGTAAGAGTTAAGGCATGTTGAACAATATTGTAAAATAATAATTTATTGTTTATTTAAAATCTTTCAATTTTCTGATGTCTACTATTTCCAGTATTAGTGTTATTATTACAAAAATAAAGATTTTTCTTTTTATTGTACAGCTATCAATTTATTTCTTTGATTTAATTTCCATTTTGCTACTGAAAATTTATATAATTTACACTGTTTTTTCTGCTAGTATTTTTACAATTTACAACACAGCAACTGCTATTGCTTTTTGTTTTGTTTTTATATGTTAGAGAAAATAATGTGGAAATAGTTTGGTAAAAGGTGTCTATTAACGAATTACTATTTGAACAAACAATACTAAAATTAAAATAGCAGGTACGCACATTACTGACAGACCTTATTGACAGACGACAATACAGGTAGTCATCTTCATAAAACAAAAGTAACTAATTCAGACAGGGTTGCCAACTATAATAGATACGGGTATTTTAACATTACCTACTTTAAAAAAAAGTAAAATGTATAGGTACGTGTAAGATATGGATATGAAATAAATATATTAAACCTATAATATTCTTCTTCTTCTTTTTCTTCTTCTTCGTCCTTTATTGGGCTATATTCCACAGAATAATTTACCCAGCCAACAACGGGGAGAGTATCCTTATCTTGCTCTCAGCAATCGGATAACCTCTATTAAATTTCAAAGTAAAAAGCTTATTAATGTTACTACTTGGGTTATACAGAGTGGCCCAAAAGTCTGGAAACGGCCAATTATCTCGTAAATTGCTAGTATTAATTGCACAAAATTTGGGGTTCTCCTATTTTAGGATACGGTCATTCCATATTTGATATTTTAAATGTTGCCAGATTTGCCGTTTTTCTTAAATTATTAGTCACTTTGGTTTTTCAAATTCATCACCCTGTATATTCAGTCATTATTGGAATCTCCTATTCAATACAAAATCAACCATATGTAACACTTATGATTTTATGTAGTCTGGAAGGTCTTATATAAATAGAATAAGTCTGGCAAAGCCTAATTGTCTCAACAAATTTTTTAATACAAACTATTTTCAACTACATTAAAACGAACAATTGAAAGATTATAACATTTTTAACATAATGGTTACTTTATCAAGTGATCAAAATGTGCTCCATTTGTGAGTTGACAGTACCCTAATCGATGGTAGAATGCGTCTACCACATTTCTCCATGATTGTTTTATTTATTTAAGACCTTCCAGACTAAATAAAATCATGTGTTGCATATGGTTAAACTCGTATTGAATGGGAGATTCCAATAATGACTGAATATACAGGGTGATAAATTTGAAAAACCAATGTGACTAATATTATAAGAAAAACGGCAAATGCGGCAACATTGCAAATATCAAATCTGGAATCTTCGTATCCAAAAATAGGTGCACCCCAAATTTTGTACAATTAGGATTATCAATTTACGAGATAATTGGCCGTTTCCAGACTTTTGAGGTACTCCGTATACGTAAAAGGGCATACAAAGTTAGTACATAGACGTCACAACACAGAATAAAAACTTTTCTCGCTTGGAGGTGGCAGTCGCCAAGCTGAACACAACCAGAAAACTGCCAACGGTAAATAGAAGGAGCCCCTAGGACTGAAAGAGAGGATAAAGTATTAGGGTTATAATTGAATTTTAAATATATTTAAAAATTTTATTAGAATGTTTAATCTGCTATTATTGAGGTTAGCGAACATAAAACAAACGTTAAAGAGAGTAGAAAGATTAGTTTTTGCCAGTTCAGAGTATAAATCAAAGTTAGCCATCATATTTATGGGACATTCAAAGATAATGTGGTTTAATGAGCCAATTTGACCACACTCACAAAATGGATAATCTTTTACTCCTATACGAAATAAGTGATAGGCAATGTCCTGTCCTCATCCTAATTATTGTAGTTAAATGTCTTCTGTCCTTGTAGGAAAAATTTAAAAACCAAGGGATTTTTATCAAATTGTGGAACGACTTTAGAATAAAAGGAATTCTTCCTACTCTTGAGGCTATTCCATTCTACAAGCCATCTTGAATTCACAATGCTTCGGATGAATGGAAAGAAATTATGATAGTTTAATATGATATTCACTGGAATATTTAGAGATCTTCCTATATTTGCCGATTGATCTGCCTTGAAGTTATCTAGAATCCCAGAGTGGCCTGGAATCCATGCCAGAATTATTTTGATATGTTCATCTTATGCGAGTAAGATACCTTCCTTAGTCAAGATGGAACAATGTTCAGTTTCCTTGGAAAAGCATGATCTTGCTATTTTTTGAAGTGCCGCTTTGGAGTTTGAAAGGATAATGGATTGAACGATGTTTTTGTCTAATATTACTTGCAAGGCCTTGTTGATAGCTACAATTTCAGCTGTACAAATTTGAGTATGGAAAGGAAGCTTACTTAAGAATGCATAATCTCATATCTGGACTATACACTCCAAACCCTAAGTGACCGGAAGAGTCTATTGAGCCATCGGTAAAGAACTTGGTGTAAGATGGGTATTTTCTGATGATATTCTGATATTTTACAATTCCTATACTTTTAGATTTAGTAGTGCCAATGTTTACGATAGCAATGGAGGCCAATTGGGGTTGGAAATCAAATTTATAACATGGTAAAAGCTCTGAAGTATATAGGTGAGGATTCACGACATCGAATTGACTGATAAGCTGGATTAGTAGAGGATTACTTTTGTTGTTCCAGTAGGTAGAGACCCCACATAATCTTTTTAGTTTTCTTAAAGCAGTGATAATGGGATTGTTTACCAAAGACATGTCTTTAATTAGGTACTTAAGGGATAGCCATTCTCTTCTAAATCTAAGGGGGATTTCACCTGTCTCTGTCAATAAGGCTAATTGGGGTAGATTTCATACACACTGTGATGATATGAAGGCTTTGGTTCTGAAGTGTATCTAACTTCTTTTTTATATCCTGGAAACACGGTATTACAATTTGACATCCATAATCCAAGTGGGACAAAATGATTGATTTATGTAAAATTCTTAATATTTGTGGGTCACATCCCCACCAAGTCCCGCAGAGAGCACGCATGACATTGAGGTTACGATTGATCTGAACATTTAAATCATTAAAGTGAGAATTCCATTTAAGATTCTTATGAATGCTTATCCCCAGATATTTAACTTCATCCTTCCATTAAATGATTTGAGAATTATAGATGATATTAGGTAAAGTAATTTTAGTTACCCCTTTAGTGAATAAAATTGCCGAAGTTTTATGCAATGAAAGATTAAGGTTAAGTTTTTCCAACCAGAACTCTAATTTAAGCAAAAAGAAGTTGATGCGTGGAATCATATTGTAAACATTCGATCCATTAACCAGTATCACCAGATCATCAGCATATTGAATTAATTTAAAATTATTAGGCAGGATATCAAATAGAGACGAGGTATAAAAGTTAAACAAAATGGGACTGAGCGGATAACCTTGAGGAAGGCCTTGATAAGAAGTTTGAGGACCATGGATATGACCCAAATTGTCTTGAGTAAATAGTTCTCTTTGGACTAAAAAGGAATGTATTAAATTGTGAGGCAAGATAGACAAGACAATTTGTACAACCCCTGCCTTTTCTGAAGCCCAATTGTAAGGGATTAAGAATTTGGTTATTTTTCAAATGCCATTCAAGTCGATTTTTGATTAAGGATTCTAATAATTTGCCTACGCAAGAGGAAAGGGAAATAGGCCTATAATTTGAAGCTACTATTTTATCCTTATTTGGCTTAATTATAGGTAGAATTAAGAATTGATTTCATTGTTTAGGAATTGAGCCTGTTAAAAGACATTTATTAAAGATACTCAGAAGAAACAAGGAGCCTGAACGAGGTAAATTTTTTAACATAGAGTATGAAATGAGATCTAAGCCTGGAGAAGAGTCTCGTTTCAAATTTAACACACTTGAGTATTTATTAAGAGTAAAGGGGGATTCTGAATGAGTTAAGCTGTTAATTTGGTACACATTTTCCAGGAAAGGTTCGAGAGATTTTGTTTTAAACCAGAAATGTTATTAATTTTATTCCAAATGGACTTCAGGGACGAATGACGATTGAGGGAGCTACAATACATCCTAAAGTTATTTTTTCGTTTGGATTTGAGAACTTTTCTAGTTGTAGCTATATTTTTTTTAACTTGGATGTAATTATCTAAATTGGGACTTTCCATGAAATTTCTAATAGAGGTACCTATAATATTCGTCAACTGTATTAGCCTGAATATTATTTTTATGAGATTGCTGTCCGTAATTCGTGGCATTTAGATTTCTACACCTGTCATGTTTTCCAATTTATTTTATTTCCTTAAATAATTCAATTAATTTAAAGACTACCTAACATGTAATGCCTTGTGTTTATTGTTATGCGTGCACGGCGACAATAAACAATATGAGCCAGTGTCAGTTGTGTAATTTTACTGTATATAGGCGTTGTTAAACTGTGGCACATAGTACCTACCAAACGAAACATCAGTAATTCATATATTAAGGCTCTATGTTACGATACTAAATTAAGTACTAAATTCAGAACTAAATTAATGACTTTTTTAAGAACTAAAAAAAATTACGATGCAAACAGCAAATTTAGTATTAAATTTAGTACTAAAAAAATTAATTAATTGGAACTTGTTCTATTTTCTACTAAATTTAGTATTAAAAATGCGTTGAAATGTTGCGCAGAAGTTTTTCTCAAAAAAAGTTGACACGGCAGTCTTTTCTGCACCATTTTAATTTTGCATTATAGCCTTGGAAAAATTTCGCTTGTGTTTAATTTTGTAGGTTTTATTGTGTTTTTATGCGGTTTTTAGTAGCATTGCTGCATTTATCAAGTCAACTAGTGTCAAAGTCATAATAAAAATATATTATAACTCACTTGTCTCATTTACACAGAATGTTTCATTTCTGTGCTAATTTCACGTAATATTGCGTCAATGAGCGTGCGCCTATACTTAATTTAGTAGTAAAAATTGGTATAGTTGCAAAAGGAAAAAAATATTTTTAGTTCTAAATTTAGTACTAAATTAATAACTTAATTTATGGCTAAATTTAAGTACTTAATTTAGTATTGTGACATACAGTCATTACGCGTTGTAAAGTCGTAAAAGCTCTCCAAACGACGCCTATGTTAGTATGTGTGTTTAGATAATAAACAGGTTTTGTTTATTTTGGAAAACATTTCAAATTGTTTTTAAACAGTACGATAAAATTAACATTTGTTTAATTTTACGTTACATTATATTTTCAAGTACTTGGTGTCTACTTGGAATAACAAAACCGGCCAAACTGACAAAATAAATTCCTCAAAATCTAGTTATTTAAAACCGATGGTGGGCTCAGGGCTGCTGCAAAATACAAACTATTATCGTGATTTTATATTTGAATAACGTATCTAAATATAATTCTTCTAGGAAAATTCGAAAAGAAAAAATGTCAGACAAATATTTTTAGATTAGATTAGATTAGATTAGATTAGATTCTTTTAGAAAAAAATATTTTTAAATTTCACTAAAC